GCTGTATGATGTATATGTTGGTTCCTCTCGGTTCCTCATGCCGAGATACGTTAATTCATTGACTTGGGGGATCTGATTGCTATTCAGACAGATCGGAGGGCAAGTTTGTCTGTTTAGAGTAAACGTTATGGGTTTACACTTTTGTTTGTTTATTTTAATACGCTAGTCAGAAAGCCACTTCTCGACTATCGAGAGGTGGGGGTAGTTTCTTTAGTGAAATATTGTCAAACATTATAAAAAAACCAAGCGATTATATGTATGGACGATATACAGCAAGAACTAAGAAGAACATGTAGAAATTTGATAAAAATTAGTTCAGAGGTTAATGTTTTTCAAAGTTTTAATTCCATTCTTAATTAAAACTTAATTAAAACAAATGCAAATTTTTGCAAGACAAGATTAAGGGAAAACTACCTTTAGAAGCCGGAAAAAAGGTATTTTTGCAATCGATTTTTAGGGAAATGAAGACAGTTCTTTTAAAATCCATATAATATTTATTTAGACTGAGGTGAGAAAACAAATTTTTTTTAAGTGAAAGTAGAAATCTAACTAATTTTTCAAGGATGTTGTAAGTCATATCGCCGCTGACATCGTAGATTGAGTAAGTGATGCTGGTCGCAATTTTAATCTAAAATCAGCAAATCAAACATTTTCTTACCGAGTTTTGTCGTCTATAAACTAAAATATTTGCGAAATTCGAAAATTAACCCTGTCAAACAGGCTACGAAAAACAAAATTCGGGATTTTCACAAAAGATATCGTTATAATTGCTGGCAATTAGAATCTACAAATTTTTTAAAACAATTATGTTTACAATTAGGTAAAATGAATGCTAGTTGCTTAAAATAATTTAAGTAGTTGTTTTATTATCTCAATTTTGATAAACATGGTTCGTTTGCGGTCAAGAAAAGACTGGCTCGGCGCCAGTCACTTCCGGAAGGCATCTCTTCCACAATTCCGAGAAAACGCTGTTAAAACTTAGACACGACATTCTGGGGCAATATACCTATCGATTAAAACAATAAAAAAAATTTGTATTTTTAAGTGTCTTAAGGTGTCTCCCTCTTACGTATTTAGTTTTTCTGATTTTCGAAAGCTGACGATACAAAATCTTCCTGTTCCACCTCTGTATCGCATACTGATGGCTTTTAACTTAAGTTTTTTAAACAACAACGAAGTTCGTGGAAGCGCCAGTTTGGCTTTATACAATTATAATGATGACGTTGATGCCAATGCGTTAGGACTCAGAAAAAAGAAGACACAAATTGGCATCCGATTTTTTATTTTCAAAAGAAATTTACAACAACGAATGCGAAACACCAAAGTTTTAAAGAGGCATTAGAGACGTTTAATACAGTTTATACGTTGAGAAGGATGTATTTTCTATCTTAAAGTTTTAAAATTTCAAACAGACTGCAACACATTAACTCATTAACTCACAAAAATTGACTTGAATCCCAAAAAAAATAGTCAAATGGGCTTAAGATATTAAAGAGTTCGATTATGAATTAAAGCATAAAGCAGGCAGTTAAATTCAGCATGTAATAAGAAAAAAGTGATTAGTGAGCAAATCCAAGGAGGAGCATGATTTGTAGAACTACTACGACGTATTAGGACATATTGGAAGCTACAAAATATTAGATACCATTGGAAAAACGAACTGGTTTCTAAACATATTAAACAAATTTAATAATAAAGATTTAAATCAAAATTAAATATATAATATTATATTCAAAGTTCTCCCAAAAGGTCAAAAGTTGAACTTGGCTGGCAATAGAACAGAACAAGATAGAATGCTATAGCCGAGTTCCACGACTATCAGATACCCGTTACTCAGCTAGTGGAAGTGCGATTGAGAAATTTCAAAATTTTCTGGAATATCGGTAGAATTTTCGAAAAAGAAAAATAAATAATGAAACAAAATTTAAAATTTGTTCAAAAGTGTGGGCGTGTTTTGGTCGGCTTATGGGCGAAAGAGTGGCCGTGGGAATACGATTTTTGTCAAATCGATAGAAATATACATAACTAATAAACAACTAAAAAATATCACAATATTTTTTAAGGTTTGTGGGCGTTAGAGTGGGCGTAGCAGCATCATTTAACAAACTTGCAGCGCAAGTCTTTGTGTCTGGAATCCCCATGCCTGATATCAACTTTCTAGCTTTTATAGCTCCTGAGATCAAGGTGTTCATACGGACAGACGGACGGACGCTGTTTAGTCAGTTCGACTCGGCTATTGACCTGGTCAAGAATATTTATACTTAATATGGTCGGAAACGCTTCCTTCTGCATATTATACATTTTCTACAGTATACTCGTTTACTCTACGAGTAACGTGTATAAACAAATTTTTTAAAAGTGTGGCCGTGGCAGTTTAGAAATGTACAAGACTAATAAAAAAGTGGAAAAATAGCATAACATTTTTCAAAATTGTGGCCGCGGCAGTTTTGTGCGGTTTGTGGGCGTTAGAGTGGGCGTGGCAACATTTGGAAATAAACTTGCTCAGCGTTTTTGGAAGCTGCATCTCAATATTCCAGCTTTTGTAGTTTCTGAGATCGAGGTTATCATACAGACAGACGGACAGACGAACAGACGGACATGGTCAGTTCGACTCGGTTATTGATCCTGATCAAGAATATATATACTTTATATCCTTCTGCCTGTTATATACTTTTCAACGAATCTAGTATACCCTTTTACTCCACGAGTAACGGGTATAAATTATCTTTAGAAGTTTTTGTATATTTTTATTTGTATACAATTATAATAGAATTTGTGCGGTCTGCACTTAATGAGACGAATTTGTATGTTTGTGCGTGGCGATGACCGACGCTTTTGATCTCCAAATATCGACTGCCTATTACAGAATAGATCTATTATCTTTACCCCACGTTCCTCAGCAAAGCTTAGCTCTTCTCTCAAAAGCTCCGATGCGCTTGCATTAAACTAAGGGCATAAGCAATATGTAAATGACATCAGTTAAATTATACATAAAATCAAAATACTTTCCAAAAGTGGGAGCGTGACAGTTTTGGGCGGTTTGTGGGTGCTAGAGTGGGCATGGCAACATCAGGAAACACACTTGCTATGGAATTTGCACGCTTATTCTCAACATTCTAGATCTTAACGTTCATACATACGGACATGGCTAGATCGACTCGGCTATTGATCCTTATCAAGAATATATTCTTTCCCTTTTATTCTACGAGTAACGGGTATAAATATTGAAAGCGTATACAAGCCAGAAAAGAAAATCACGTTGCACTTTGACGTCAGAACAGAGTTAAGTGGTATCCGACGCGGCAACATTCCGCAGCGAATTATGTTTAGCATGACTAACGTCGTCATGCATGGAAAATGTTGGTATCATCTGCTATTATTAGAGGAACGTGGTTCGCAGGGACAACTTGAAATAATAATTACCTTCAAAAAAGTATTAAATAAGTTTGCTAGGAAGCAATATTTTTATTCTATTGAATTCAAATTTTCCTTGCATTGGTTCCTTCTGCAGTTTTTTTTTTATTAACAATCGTTCAAGCTCTGATCATTGATTGTTCACACTCCAATTACATACGCGTCTTAGATGGAAATGTACTGATGTGGGACTATCGCACTCACTCAAGAAATCTGACCAAATTTCCTGTATTGATAGAAGAAACAGGAAAATTATCCGCAATTTTTCCGCAGTCTTATATGACAAAACGGTTAGACGTTGAAGGTAATCATATTAGTGACTTATTGTCCGTTTTGAAAATACGTCATAGTATAGCTATGACTTAAAATGAGCTTACGAACACCTGAATCGATTTCTAAAGATGGAAAAATAATTAGTTGACACTCCAGAAAATTCAAAATTGAATGCTTACAATCTCTCTTGCTAAAGACCATAATGATATGAAATCTGTGCTTATTGAACATCCCATATAGATATCGATAGCAAGCTTGTTAGAAGCACACCAAAACCACACTATACTGCAACAACAAGATGACACTGTAGCTGAATGCGGCGACAAGATCTTGGCCCTATCTGACTGCACTAAAATTACCTACGCGTGAATATGCAAGTAAGCCATACACGACACCTGCGCTCGAGGACTTCATGAAGGAGGAACAGCGGCTTCACCATTGCTTAGTATCATGGGACACGACCAAGTTTTGAGCATGCTATATCTACTGAGGATATCGTAACCTACAGAATAATAAGGAACTTCAAGAAGACATAGAGAGACATAGAGACAAGAGTCCCCTAAAAACTTGGTTTACTACTGGAGTTGGTATGAGCTGTATTCTTACTAGCTCACTCACTCCAATGCCTAAGGAAAATGCGTCCAGCAAGGGAATTTCACAAGGTCGTGGATTATTATAAAATGTGCAAGGATAGTTATAATCTCAGGGAAGAGTAGATAAAGACTGCACTTAACTATTTAAGAAAAATAATCAGAAAAAAGAACTGCAGTCGTAGTGCCGACGTAGCGAAAATGGTCTGCTGCGTCGTACTTAATAACTTAAAATAAAAGCATACAGATTATAGTAAAGCCTCAACTGTATATTTTATGTAATATTTTATTTAATGTTTTCCCACCCACTCTAACACCCACAAAACGCCCAAAGTGACAAACATACACTGTTTAAATTTATATAATTTCTTTCTCGGTTTATTATTTGTCTTCTGAATTTTAAGTATCTTCCTAGCACTCCTAGTAGCTGAGCAACGAGGATCTGGTAGTCGAGAAAAGCGACTTACGCTGTAAGCAGAAATGTGCAGTACATTTATTAAACTTTGTCATGGCTGTCTGTTCAAAAGTATTTTTCTCTAAATTTCAGAGCCATCTTTTTTAAACTTTAGAATGATCGCATAGAAGGTAGAAAGAGACGTTCGGACTTATAGTATAATTCAAATATGAAAAGCATTAGTAATATAACTTTATATATCCAAATGAAAATGCTATTTTGAACTGTAATACTTTTATAATAATAAATATACATTTTTACATTTCAAGATAAAGTTTCCTCAACTAAGAGACTCGGGAATTTACGAATGTCAAGTATCCACAACACCACCAGTAGGATATACAATGGTATTTTCAGTTGTAGGTAAGTACTTAATCTCCGGTCTTGTGCATAGTATGAACAGTAAGCGGAAATTATCAAGCAAAACAAAAGCCTTTTAAAAAATAATCTAGTAGTAGTAGTGAGTAGGTTACGTCATGTTTAAAGCACACAATCATGGATGCAAGGTTCTCGAAATTGGCCAAGACGGGGACGCTGAGCGATTGGTTGGTTTCTTCTAGACCCCTGAAGTCAAGGCTAACAGATCGAAAGGATCTTAGGATATAGGGGGAAAAGCGGTCTTAAATTTAGAGAAGTTTTAATCTTCGAAAGTGTACTTCGGTGCGTCTGTCGACTTCAGAATCAGAGCTTTAAAGCTTGTGACACCTGATTTCTAGAGGCCACCCATATGTGGTGCTCCTAAAAGGATTTATATGTATTTCTAAATAAGCGGCTAACGAATACGACGACGATTTGCACCAGTCATAGACACTTTAAAGACTTGAAAGAAATCGAGAGACAGCGAGAGGCAGCGCCAACGAAAGTTTTGCCCTTATTAGATCAAGGCTACCATTTCACGGAAGCCAAGATTTTCTAGGTCGTTTTATCGGTCGTAAGTTCTAAGTGGATGGCTTTAGTGGAAAAACATATACGGTCGCGTTAAAAAAAAAAAAAACAAATACTTCCCATTAATTACATCCCCATTTTAAGTAGCATTGTCATGGTAGGGAGGGAATTATTATTAGGGAATTATTAACATCCAAAATTCCCAATACTTATCAGAATCTTTAGCTTATCTTCACACGTGTCGGCGTGTATCCGTAGTATCAATATAAAGCCATTTCTTTTATTAATCGATAGTCCAGTTTTGAATATTGTTTTTGATAAAGACGCACTTATTAAATGTAGTAGCGTTTCGTACTATCTTAACCTAAAAGAACCCTGACCTACGGCGAGCTAGACCCGAGCATAGCAGGAGTGCGCATAGTAATTACCACCCACTATTAAAAGATCAGCTAGTTAAAATCTGTCGAACTACGTACACTACAGACTAAGCCAGAACCTCATGTGCCGTTAAGTTCCCACTACCGCTTCGTGCAATCGGATACTGGATAGTACGGACTGCACTACTGGGTGCTCGGCAATTGGGCTAGGAATTGCTGCCGTATGTGGACTTAAGCGCCTGTAACCCGCCCTCTTAGTTCTTACGAACGCTCCGGGTAAGTGCATTGCTAACGTACGCAATCTCCGACACAGTCGACCGGGTCTTCACCACAATCCCGCTACACACGCGGGTCCTTGCTAGGATTGGGGCCGCCTGTTCAAACACTATCGGACTCACCGCTCACAACGACAGGGTCTGGTCTCGATTCGTGGTGTCGCAAGACGTCTCAACCTAGCCGTGCCTTGTCTCAATGCACCTCAACTACCTGTGTCTAAATTGGTGACTTGCCGTCCCGCACTTTGACGCCTGTAGCTCCCTTGCTGCTTTTTTCCTCAGATTCTCTCTTTACAGACTGTGTTCCTCCTAACTCTCTTTCTACCGGCTCAGTTTCTCCAAATCTCCCAAAACATTCATGCCATCCTTCCCTAGTTGACATCTGCATTTGTGCGGGATTTTAACTCCACCTCTACGGTTTTGTTCACATTGGCGACATTGTCAGAGGCCATGAATTGCTTACCGCCCATATTGGAAATTACTTTCTAGCGTTTTGAAATGCGAGTCTTCCTTTCATGAACTTTCTTCGCTATGTGTCATTTTGCAATCACCTTTTCATCCCAGTCCAGGATTTTTCTGGTCCTGGCGACTTGAACCCCCGTTGAATCCCAGAGGTCCCTTCTGGATACAAAAATGTATATTCCCGGGAAACTATGTGTTCTTTTTTACTTTTTTATATTTAACTTTTTCCAATTCTTTAGGATCAATGCCCGAATGATGAAATTTGCCAATTATTGGCCAAATTAATAGGCTGAGTTTCCTGTTCTGTATATTTCACCTTCTCTTCCTTCGGCTTATAAAATTAATAAATTAAGCTAAGGCTGCCAAAGCAAACCATCTGCCAAGCAAAATCCGCTACCGGATATGGCAGCAGAATGATAACGACAGAATGATAAATACAAAGAAGAGAGAATGTATAGTCGAGGGCTTCTGCTATTAGCAACCGTTATTCAGCTGATAAATTTAAAACAATAAATATGGCTCCATTTGGGGTCTTACGAGTCGACTTAAGTTTCTAAACATTGTAAAAGTTAGAAAACTCTATGTTACCCAACAATTTTGTTTGTCTAAAGCATACAGAGGCATCCACATTGCTATTTTACCGAAGTTAGTTTGAGCCTTATTAGTAACTACAAATGAATATTGATTAAGAATTACCGTATTATTACTATTGCTATTACCATATAATCCTATTTAAAATTCAATAAATTACCATATTTATTTAAAATAAATATCTTATTAATAGTTTATGTTTGGTTTTTTATTTATACCCGTTAGTCGTACAGTAAAAGGGTATACCAGATTCGTTAGGTTGATAGCCGAGTCGATCTGGCCATTTCCGTCTGTCTGTTTGAGCGGCTCGATCTCAGGAGCTACAAAAGAAGCGCAGTGGCGCGACTATCGAAAAAGCCTAATCAATATGAGTATTGCAATCGGTTGTAGGCGAATCCCTTGAAACAAGAACCCTTGACATCTACTGAAAATTTGAAAATTCTGTTACAGTGTTGTAGGCACACATATTGGTTACCCACTGTACCTATATGTCGGCAACATTTTAAAATACAAACATTTTAATCTTCAAACAGTTCAGCCCAATTGAATGTGCAACGTGAGCACCCGCTTGAAGTGCACCATTCATAATTGCATAAAGTCAGCGTTGTCACGCCGGCCAAGTTCTAACCGAACATAGTAACGTAATTATGCCTTCCTCACAATTCCCTTATACAAAGCCCGACCGCGGTGGTCCGCCTTATCGATTACTCATTAAATAAACAAACATTTCTCGATATTTCGGATGTCGTTAACTAAAAAAACATTTCTCGATATTGCGCATCCACTCAAGCTGCAACCAAAACCCAGCCATTAGCCAGGCACATAACCACGTAGTATATAAGAATTCTTTTTCCATATGTATGCAGATAAGCATAAGCAAGATGCGCTCTCGCGCAGATGAAGTAAGCAACCCAGTACATCTAAGATTTTCTCACATCATTTGTTTCAGTCCTAAGTCGACATTCAATCAATAAAAACGCAAAGCGGATTCATTCGGAGTTTTATTTATTTCGGCGTTGATCTTAGTTCAAATATGGATCATTTATTCGACTCAAAACAAAAACTATTTTACTGGCGCAGTCGGTAGGATTAAAAAGTATCCGAAACAAAAAAACCGCGAGTGGAAAATAAATTAACTTTTATAATCCGGTACTCGTGGACAATTACGCTTGTGATTTTCGTAACTTCAACTTGGATTATAAATCCATTTCGGTTTTCCTAATAAAGTGGAAGAAAAACCAAGAAAATCCCCAGATGAAATTCCTCCTATAAGTCCAACGGCAGGAGAAAGAAACATTACAAATAATAAAATTAGAGAAAAGTAGACATTTTTTCAACTAAGCTACCAAATAAGCAAACAAAAAAAAATCTATATCAACTTATAAGTGCAGCAGCAAAATATCAAAACAATAACAAGCTCCAGAAGACAAAAACGTGAAAACATAATAAACTCTATCAAAATAAAACTAAAACAAAATGGAACTACCTTATATTGCTGCACGACAACTCGTAATCCTAAACGAAAACAACCTAAGTGAAGCGCGAAGACAACTCAAAGACATTTTCCCATTTAAAGGAGATCCCTCAGCGCTTTATACGTTCATTAGTAGAGTGGATTACATCCTAGAACTCTACCCAACTAACGACCTGCGACAACAACGCATTCTACTCGGAGCTGTGGAACGAAACATAGATGGACAAGTAATAAGATCATTGGGACTACCAAATATCGAGGACTAGCACACCTTGAGGTCAAGGTTAATTGGCGAATACAAACCCCAAACGCCAAATTACAAACTTCTAAAAAATTTCCGAGAGACTCCATACAAAGGAAATTTACGAACATTCTGCGAGGAAGCTGAAAGTCGGCGCCAACTCTTAATATCTAAGCTACATCTAGAAGGTAATAATACCGCCCTCATCATTTATTTTCAAGCAATTAGGGACTCTGTTAAGATACTAATTCGAAAATTACCAACTAATTCGTATTTTGTCTCATCATGGCTCATACCAGTATCCAACCATTCAATCACAATATCCACCCATTCAAACTCAACAACGACAAATGTTCAACAGACCACCCATGAGACCTGGACAAAATCAATTCGGTGCAACTAGATTTGCAAACCCACAACCTAATTTTAATAGGAATCCATTTCCAAAAACACAACAAACTATAACTAACAACCCCAACTCCAACATTAAACAAACTTTTAAACGTCCTAGACCAGCTGACAGCGACCAATCAAGAATGTCTACCGACGAACTTAGACTTTAACATGCTCAAGAATATGGACCAACTGATCCAAACTGTAATCAACACTTTTACGAACAAGAGTTCTTTGACTACAATCAATACCAAACCCAGATTGACAGTAATCAACTTATGACGCCGTCCGAAAAAAAAGAATATTTTTCTCAATCTAACGAGAATTTACGGTTACCAGCCTCGGACAACACCAATACATTACAATTAAATTACACACAAAGGTCTTAAATACAAATGCCTCATTGACACAGGATCGACCAAGATGAGAGAAAATATATTTAGTCTCCCAATGCAATGCGATGTTTTTACATCTAACGGTGCCATAATACTAAACGAGTCTGTTACCATACCTAGTAACAATATTTTTAACAGGCCTGAACGAATTTATCTACATGATTTCTCAGAAGATTATGATTTATAAATTGGCAGAAAATTACTCAGTGATGTACAATCTATTATAAAGCAACAATTCAAAGGTTCATGAATAACATTCTTCGACCACTG